TGTGGGGCAATGGGAGGGGGGAGCAGTGGGGCTGATGCTGGACCCCCCCCCCCCACTTTGCCCAGGTTCAAGCGCAGGTATCGCCTCAAGTACGTGGAGAAGAGGGCGTTCAGGGCTGTGACGTGAGTGTGACCCCCTCCTGCCCCATAAGTGTGGGTCTGGGCCCCCCAAGTGTGGGTCTGGACCCATAAGTGTGGGTCTGGGCCACCCCAAGTGTGGGTCTGGACCCATAAGTGTAAGTGTGGGCACCCCAAAAGTGGGTCTGGACCCATAAGTGTAAGTCTGGGCCCCCAAGTGTGGGTCTGGACCCATACGTGTGGGTCTGGGCCCCCCTGACCCCCTGTTGTCTGTTCCAGGCTGTGATGTGGATCCCATTGGATGTGTTATCCCAATAAACCCTTTGGCACAAAGGCTGATCCCATTGGATTCTATGGGGGGGGTGGGGGGTGGAGTGCAGATGGGTCCGGATCAATCACTGGTTATACTGGGATCAATCACTGGTTATGGGATCAATCACTGGTTATACTGGGATCAATCACTGGTTATAGTGGGATCCATCACTCGTTATGGGATCAATCACTGGTTACACTGGGATCAATCACTGGTTATACTGGGATCAGTCACTGGTTATATTGGGATCAATCACTGGTTATACTGGGATCAATCACTGGTCATACTGGGATCAATCACTGGTTAAATTGGGATCAATCACTGGTTATACTGGGATCAATCACTGGTTATACTGGGATCAATCATTGGTTACACTGGGATCAATCACTGGTTATACTGGGATCAATCACTGGTTATATTGGGATCAATCATTGGTTACACTGGGATCAATCACTGGTTATACTGGGATCAATCACTGGTCATACTGGGATCAATCACTGGTTATATTGGGATCAATCACTGGTTATACTGGGATCAATCACTGGTTATACTGGGATCAATCACTGGTTACATTGGGATCAATCACTCGTTATGGGATCAATCACTGGTTATACTGGGATCAATCACTGGTCATACTGGGATCAATCACTCATTATGGGATCAATCACTGGTCATACTGGGATCAATCACTGGTTATACTGGGATCAATCACTGGTTATACTGGGATCAATCACTGGTCATACTGGGATCAATCACTGGTTATATTGGGATCAATCACTGGTTATATTGGGATCAATCACTGGTTACACTGGGATCAATCACTGGTCATACTGGGATCAATCACTGGTCATACTGGGATCAATCACTGGTTATATTGGGATCAATCACTGGTCATACTGGGATCAATCACTGGTTATACTGGGATCAATCACTGGTTATACTGGGATCAATCACTGGTTACACTGGGATCAATCACTGGTCATACTGGGATCAATCACTGGTCATACTGGGATCAATCACTCGTTATGGGATCAATCACTGGTTACACTGGGATCAATCACTGGTTACATTGGGATCAATCACTCGTTATGGGATCAATCACTGGTTATATTGGGATCAATCACTGGTTATACTGGGATCAATCACAGCTCCTACTTGCGCAGGGGGCGGAGCTTAGGGCCAGCGTAGGGGCGGGGCTTATCCCGCGCATGCGCAGTCGCAGCCATGGCCGCGCCGCTCCGCGTCTCCGTTGTCTACTGGTACCGGGGGGGGGGCTTTTAATGAGGGGGGGCCCCATTGATCTCTATGGGGGTCACTGTTGGGGGGGGCCCCATTGATCTCTATGGGGGTCACTGTTGGGGGGGCCCCATTGATCTCTATGGGGGTCACTGTTGGGGGGGCCCCATTGATCTCTATGGGGGTCACTGTTGGGGGGGCCCCATTGATCTCTATGGGGGTCACTGTTGGGGGGGCCCCATTGATCTCTATGGGGGTCACTGTGTTGGGGGGGGCCCATTGATCTCTATGGGGGTCACTGTGTTGGGGGGGCCCCATTGATCTCTATGGGGGTCACTGCGTTGGGGGGGGGGCCCATTGATCTCTATGGGGGTCACAGTTGGGGGGGCCCCATTGATCTCTATGGGGGTCACTGTGTTGGGGGGGGGGCCCATTGATCTCTATGGGGGTCACTGTGTTGGGGGGGGCCCCATTGATCTCTATGGGGGGGTCCCATTGATCTCTATGGGGGTCACTGTGTTGGGGTTGGGGGGGCCCTGTTTTGGGGGGGGGGGTGTCTCCCTTTGCAGGGTGTCCCCCCCCCATTGACTCTCCCCCCATAGCGGTGCCTGAGGCTACAAACCCAAGGTGAGCCCTGATTGCCCCCCCCCCTCCCCATTCCCCCCCCATTTAACCCGGGGGTGACACCCCCCCCCCCCCCCCATCATTCCCAGTTCCAGCAACTGAAGCAGGAACTGGAGCGGCGCTTCCCGGGAGCGCTGGAAGTGGTGAGGGGGGGTCACAGGTTGGGGGGGGCATTGGGGTGATGGGGGTGACATTGGGGTGATGGGAGGTGACATTGGGGTGATGGGGGTGACATTGGGGTGATGGGGGTGACATTGGGGTGATAGGGGCTGACATTGGGGTGATGGGGGTGACATTGGGGTGATAGGGGCTGACATTGGGGTGATGGGGGCTCATTGGGGTGATAGGGGCTGACATTGGGGTGATGGGGGCTCATTGGGGTGATGGGGGTGACATTGTGGTGATGGGGGTGACATTGGGGTGATGGGGGTGACATTGGGGTGACGGAGGTGACATTGGGGTGATGGAGGTGACATTGGGGTGATGGGGGGTCATTGGGGTGATGGGGGTGACATTGGGTGATGGGGGTCACACTGGGGTGATGGGGGTGACATTGGGGTGATGGGAGGTTCACACATTGGGGTGTGGGAGGGTCTCACCCATTGGGGTGATGATTTGGGGGGGGTCTCACCCATTGGGGTGATGATTTGGGGGGGGTCACACACATTGGGGTGATGATTTGGGGGGGTCTCACCCATTGGGGTGATGATGGGGGGGTCTCACCCATTGGGGTGATGATTTGGGGGGGGTCTCACCCATTGGGGTGATGATTTGGGGGGGTCTCACCCATTGGGGTGATGATTTGGGGAGGTCTCACCCATTGGGGTGATGATTTGGGGGGGGTCTCACCCATTGGGGTGATGATTTGGGGGGGGTCACACACATTGGGGTGATGATTTGGGGGGGGTCACACACATTGGGGTGATGATTGGGGGGGGTCTCACCCATTGGGGTGCCCCCCCCCCGCAGCAGGGGCAGGGCACGAAGGAGGTGACAGGATGGTTCGAGGTGACAGTGGGGGGGCGCCTGGTGCACTCTAAGAAGGTGGGTGCCCCCCCCCCGAACCTTGGGACCCCCCCCCATGGTGGGACCACCCCCCTTTCCCTCCCATATCCCCCCTTTTTCCATTCATTTCCTGCTCTTCCCACCCCTTCCTTTCCATTCCCTCCCCTTTCCTTCCATTCCCACTCTTTTCCTGCCATATTCCCCCCCTTTCCTACCATTTCCCCCCCTTTTCCTTCCCATTTTCCCACCCCATCCCCATCACTTCCCACCCTTTTCCTGCGATATTCCCTCCTCTTCCCTATCATATTCCTCTCCTTCCTTCCATTCCCATCTCTTCCCTTCCCTTTCTTTCCCTATTCTCGCCTATTTTCCTCTTCCCATTTCCCCCCTTTCCCTTCCATTTTCCCTTCCATTTCCCCCCTTTCCCTTCTGATTTCCCCCATTCCCCCCTTTTCCCTTCCATTTTCCCCTCCTTTCCCTTCCATTCCCCCTCTTCCCCCTTTTCCTTTCCATTTCCCCCCATTCCTCCCTTTTCCCTTCCATTTTCCCATCCTTTCCCTTCCATTCCCTCTTCCCATCCTTTCCTTCCATTTTCCCCCATTCCCCTTTCCCATTTTTCCCCTTCCATTCCCCCTTATTCCCACCCTTTCCCTTCCATTTTCCCCCTTCCCTGCTTTTTCCCTTCCATTTTCCCACCTTTTCCCTTGCATTCCCCCTTATTCCTATTTTTTCCCTTCCATTTCCCCCCTTTCCCTTCTGATTTCCCCCTCTTCCCACCCTTTCCCTTCAATTTTCCCCCATTCCCCCCTTTTCCCTTCCATTTTCCCATCTTTTCCCTTCCATTTCCCCCCTTTCCCTTCTGATTTCATCCATTCCCACCTTTTCCCTTCCATTCCCCCATTTCCCCCCCCATTCCCCCATTTTCCCCCCTTTCCCTTCCATTCCCCCTTATTCCCACCCTTTCCCTTCTATTTCCCCCCATTCCCACCCTTTCCCTTCTGTTTCCCCCCATTCCCACCTTTTCCCTTCCATTTTCCCAACTTTTCCCTTCCATTTTCCCACCTTTTCCCTTCCATTTTCCCACCTTTTCCCTTCCATTTCCCCCCTTTCCCTTCTGATTTCATCCATTCCCACCTTTTCCCTTCCATTCCCCCATTCCCCCCCTTTTCCTTCCATTTTTCCCCCTTTTCCCTTCCATTTTCCCCCCTTTTCCCTTCCATTTTCCCCCCTTTTCCCTTCCATTTTCCCCCCTTTTCCCTTCCATTTTTCCCCCTTTTCCCTTCCATTTTCCCCCCTTTTCCCTTCCATTTTCCCCCCTTTTCCCTTCCATTTTCCCCCCTTTTCCCTTCCATTTTCCCCCCTTTTCCTTCCATTTTCCCCCCTTTTCCCTTCCATTCCCCCTTATTCCCATTTCCCCCCCCATATCCCAATCCCATTCCCCCCTTCAGGCCGGCGCCGGCTTCGTGGACTCAGAGGCCAAGCTCCAGCGCATCCTCAACGCCATCAGCGCCCTCCTGCCCCCCATGTAACCCCCATCCCATCCCCATTCCCATCCCCATTCCCAACCCCATTCCCAACCCCATTCCCAACCCCACAGCGCTCCATGACGGGCACAGCCAAAAGCAATGGGCTGATCCCCGATGCACGCGCCATGGGATGCATCCTTCATCCCTCATCCTTCATCCTTCATCCTTCATCCATCCTTCATCCCTCATCCCCCTTCCTTTATCCCGCTTTCCGCTGCCCCTGCAGAACACCGGGATCAATCCACCGGGATTTAATTAAGTTTTTTTTGTTTTTTTTTTTGGTGGTTGGTTTTTTTACCCCATCCCTCCCCCATGGAATTCCCATTCTTGGAATAAACGCATGGAAAACTGACCGGGAATGGGCTTCGGGTGCTGGAGTCCGTGCTGAGCAGAGGGATTAAACTGGAACTGGGGGGATTAAACTGGAACTGGGGGGATTAAACTGGAACTGGAGGGATTAAACTGGAACTGGGGGGATTAAACTGGAACTGGGGGGTTTAAACTGGTATCGGGGGGATTAAACTGGAACTGGAGGGATTAAACTGGAACTGGGGGGTTTAAACTGGAACTGGGGGGGATTAAACTGGAACTGGGGGGATTAAACTGGTACCGGGGGGATTAAACCCGATACCGGAGGCATTAAACCCTGTACTGGGATCATTAAACCCGGTACCGGAGGGATTAAACCCGATACTGGAGGCTTTAAACCCTGTACTGGGAGCCATTAAACCCGATACGAGAGGCATTAAACCCTGTACTGGGAGAATTAAACCGGGTACCGGACGCATTAAACCCGGTACCGGAGCCATTAAACCCGATACCGGAGGCATTAAACCCTGTACTGGGAGCATTAAACCCGGTACCGGAGGCATTAAACCCGATACCGGAGGCATTAAACCCTGTACTGGGAGCATTAAACCCGGTACCGGACGCATTAAACCCGGTACCGGAGGCATTAAACCCTGTACTGGGAGCATTAAACCGGGTACCGGAGGGATTAAACCGGTACCGGAGCCATTAAACCCGGTGCCGGAGGCATTAAACCCTGTACTGGGAGCCATTAAACCCGGTACCGGAGGGATTAAACCGGTACCGGACGCATTAAACCCGGTACCGGCGCCCTGAACGGCTCCGTCCCCGTTACCGGCCCCGCTCCAAGATGGCGGCCGTCCCTCCCCTCCCTCAGCGGCCGCGGTGCATGACGGGTAACGGGCGGCCGCCATCTTGTGGCGGGAAAGGAGCGGGAGCACCGGCAGCGCCTTCCCCCCCCCCCCCCCCCCGTTTTCTTTTGCTTTCCCCGCCCCCAACACCGGCACCGGCACCGGCACCATCCGGTAACGGCGGCTCCGGGATGGGGGTTCGGGCGGTGGAGACGCTTCCCTTTTAGTCCCGCCTTCCGCACGGAGCCGGGCTCTGCTTGTCCCCGAGGCCGGCAGCTGATTGGCTGCGCTCGACGTCAGTCCACCGCGGCGCGCACAGCTATTGGTCGAAGGGGCGCGGAGGCTGCTGGGAGTTGTAGTCCGAGAGGCGCTGAAAGGGGGGGGGAGCGGCGGGGCCTGCTCCGCCGTGAGGCCCCGCGGCCCCGTTCCCCTTCGGGGCCGACCCCGGTTCATTCCCCCCCGGCCGCCACCACCACCACCACCACCCAGGCAGGCTTCTGAGCTCCCGTTATGGCTCGTACGAAGCAGACAGCTCGGAAATCCACCGGTGGCAAGGCGCCGAGGAAGCAGTTAGCCACCAAAGCGGCCCGGAAGAGCGCTCCGTCCACGGGAGGGGTGAAGAAGCCGCATCGTTACCGGTAACGGAGCGAGGGCCTCGGGGGGTAAACCTCGGGTTCGCGTTTACCCGCTGTAAGCGCCTCTTCTCCTGCCCTCCGTAGCCCCGGCACGGTGGCGCTGAGGGAGATCCGGCGGTACCAGAAGTCCACGGAGCTGCTCATCCGGAAGCTGCCGTTCCAGCGCCTCGTGCGGGAGATCGCGCAGGACTTCAAGACCGATCTGCGCTTCCAGAGCGCCGCCATCGGAGCGCTGCAGGTCCGGGACCACGGCCCCGACATTGCCCCTTTAACGGCCCCGCCATTGCCCCTTTAAGGCCCCCCCATTGCGTCTTTAACTCCTCCCCCCCCCCTTGCCCCTTTAAGGCCCCCCCTTGCCCCTTTAAAGCCCCATTGCCCCTTTAACCCCCCTCCATTGCCCCTTTAACGCCCCCCCACTGTGCCTTTAACACCCCCCCATTGTCCCTTTAACCCCCGCCATTGCCCCTTTAACGCCCCCCCATTGTGCCTTTAACGCCCCCCACCATTGCCCCTTTAACGCCCCCATTGCCCCTTTAAAGCCCCCCCATTCCCCCTTTAATGTCCCCCCGCCATTGCCCCTTTAACGCACCCCCCTTGTGCCTTTTATCCCCCCCCCCGTTGCCCCTTTAACACCCCCCACTGTGCCTTTAATGCCCCCCCATTGTGTCTTTAACTCCCCCCCAATTGCCCCTTTAAAGCCCCCATTGCCCCTTTAATGCCCCTCCATTGCCCCTTTAACGTCCCCCCATTGCTCCTTTAACCCCCCCCATTGCCTCTTTAACGCCTCCTCCTTGTGCCTTTAAATCCTTCCATTGACCCTTTAACCCCCCCACTGTGCCTTTAACACCCACCCATTGTCCCTTTAACCCCCACCATTGCCCCTTTAACGCCCCCCATTGCCCCTTTAACACCCCCGCCATTGCCCCTTTAATGCACCCCCGTTGCCCCTTTAACTCGCCCCCTCCATTGCCCCTTTAAAGCCCCCCCATTGCCCCTTTAACGCCCCTCCATTGTGCCTTTAAACCCCCCATTGCCCCTTTAACGCCCCTCCATTGTGCCTTTAAACCCCCCATTGCCCCTTTACCCCCCCATTGTGCCTTTAACGTCCCCCCATTGCCCCTTTAACCCCATTGCCCCTTTAACCCCCCCGTTGCCCCTTTACCCCCCCCCCGCTGCCTCTTTAACGTCCCCCCATTGCCCCTTTAACACCCCCCACTGCCTCTTTAACGGCCCTCCATTGCCCCTTTAACCCCCCCGCCATTGCCCCTTTAACACCCCTCCATTGCCCTTTTAATCCCCCATTGCCCCTTTAACACCCCCCATTGCCCGTTTAATGCTTTAATGCTTCCCCATTGCCCCTTTAAGCCCCGCCTTGCCCCTTTCACACCCCCATTTCCCGTTTAATGCCCCCCCCATTGCCCCTTTAACCCTTTCCAGCACCATTCCCCCCTCTTCACATCAATCCTCCCCCCATTCCTCCCATTCCCATTCCCCCCATTCCCATTCCCCCCATTCCCCCCATTCCCATTCCCATTCATCCCATTCCCATTCATCCCATTCCCATTCATCCCATTCCCATTCATCCCATTCCCCCATTCCCATTCCCCCCATCCCCATTCATCCCATTCCCATTCCCCCCATCCCCATTCATCCCATCCCCATTCATCCCATTCCTATTCATCCCATTCCCCCCATTCCCATTCATCCCATTCCCATTCAACTCATTCCCATTCCCCCCATTCCCGTTCATCCCATTCCCGTTCATCCCATTCCCATTCCCCCCATTCCCATTCAACCCATTCCCCCCATTCCCATTCCCCCCATTCCCATTCAACCCATTCCCCCCATTCCCATTCCCCCCATTCCCATTCCCCCCATTCATCCCATTCCCATTCATCCCATTCCCATTCCCCTTCCCCCATTCCCATTCCCCCCATTCCCCTTCCCCCCATTCCCCTTCCCCCCATTCCCCTTCCCCCCATTCCCATTCCCTCATTCCCATTCCCCCCATTCCCATTTCCCCCATTCATCCCATTCCCATTCCCATTCATCCCATTCCCATTCCCATTCATCCCATTCCCATTTCCCCCATTCCCCCCATTCCCATTCATCCCATTCCCATTTCCCCCATTCCCCCCATTCCCATTCATCCCATTCCCCCCATTCCCATTCATCCCATTCCCATTCCCATTCATCCCATTCCCATTCCCATTCATCCCATTCCCATTCCCCCCATTCCCATTCCCCCCATTCCCATTCCCCCCATTCCCCCCATTCCCATTCCCATTCATCCCATTCCCCCCATTCCCATTCCCCCCATTCCCATTCATCCCATTCCCATTCCCCCCATTCCCTTCTTCCCATTCCCATTCCCCCCATTCCCATTCATCCCATTCCCATTCCCCCCATTCCCATTCATCCCATTCCCATTCCCCCCATTCCCTTCTTCCCATTCCCCCATTCCCCCCATTCCCATTCCCATTCCCGTTATCCCCCTGACTCCGGCCCCATTCCCGACAGGAAGCCAGCGAAGCCTACCTGGTGGGGCTCTTCGAGGACACCAACCTCTGTGCCATCCATGCCAAGAGGGTCACCATCATGCCCAAGGACATCCAGCTGGCCCGGCGCATCCGTGGCGAGCGCGCTTAAGGCAGGAGAGATTCCGGTTGGGATTTGGGATACACCGGGATAGGGGTAAAGGGTAACGGGATGGGATGGGAAGAGCGTTCCCACAGCGATCCCAAGGGATTTATGAATGGGGTTTGGGGAGGTTTCTTGGCCTCTTTTCTTTTTGGATGCTTTTGGAGTTCCCTCTGGGTCCACCCACGGTTGGAATTCCCGTGGTTTCTACACGATCCCGATGGATTTGGGGTTTATTTTGGGGGAAAAGGTGGGATTTGGGGTTGATTCCTGCTGGTTTTATCCCCTGGGGTCTTCCTGGCTGAATAAAGGGGACCCGTCCACATTCCCTGGATGAATCCCAGCTCCACGTTATTCCATATGGAATTGGGGGGGGGGGGGGGGGGGTGTCTGCTCGATGGGGGGTGATTCCAGAGCTGGGGCATTCCTCATGAATATAGGGGTTATCCGTAGGGTTATCCATGAATATAGGGGTTTAATCCATGAATATAGGGGGCTATCCATGAATATAGGGGTTTAATCCATGAATATAGGAGGTTATACATAAATATAGGGGTTTAATCCATGAATATAGGGGTTTAATCCATAAATATAGGGAGTTATCCATGAATATGGGGGTTTAATCCATTAATATAGG